TGAAGACAAGACTGGATGTTATGCTGAGAGAATAACTTCCAAGAGCTTGGCCAGTCCATCTTATAGAACAGAACTCTGATACTCTCCAAACGATGGTGACCTGTAGGCGCAGTCGTCGTGAGTTCCATACTCGACCGTTTTGGGTGACCAAGATGTCGAAGTTGCGCAGCTCAATGTATCCCTATTTAGGTTCTTAATGGATGCCTGACGGTTAAGGCGTCCAATTCCAGCCAAGCGGCCTGCAGAGTGACTCAGGGCCGGTCATTCTTAATTCTCCGACTTGACTAGGGGTAGCAAAACTTCATTACCGGCCCGGTATGGGGAGAACACGAAGTGCTTTCTGCGTCATGAATGCGGGAGAGGTCGAGAGAGGTTGTTACTCGGCAGAATCCGACGTCGTCTGTGGCGTTATTTAGCGTGGCGCTACTCAACGACTACGGAATGGGGTTAGATCAGGATGTACAGACGGTCTTAGTCAGGATTGCTGCACGACTTCTGCACGACTTCATTGCACCTCGACAAATCGACCCTCTATCCTCCTTCATCGCTCTGGAATTAACTTCCAGAACAGGCTTCTAATGTGGCTGATCGTCACAACAAGCTTTTGTTAGCACAGCCTTACGGGTCCAAGATGACCCTGCAGGTCGGGAGAAGCTCGTGGATGACCCGGTGTTGGACGACGAAGCTGGAGTGTTGCTGGGACATATATTGAATGGCTCAAGCTTTTGCCAGTTGCAATTGTTCCAGCGCATCTTTGGTCAGATTGAACCTTCAATTCAAGCTCTTGTCGAAATTTTCTTCTCCCAGCAATCTTGCGTCTCAGCATGGTCTATTGTGGGAAGCCGTCCAAGGCGTGCGGGGAATGTCGACTGCGGAGGACCAAGGTAGCTACTCAACCCTATCCCTTTCTAGCCACCATCTAACATATACAGTGTGATTACAAGAAACCGTCATGCTCTCAATGTATGAGAGCCGGGCGTACCTGCATCGGATACAGAGATCCATCTGATCTCATGTTTCGCGACGAGTCGGAAGGTCTCAGCGCTAGGCGTCAACGACTCAAGGATACCACGAGTCAAAAGCCAGCACAACTCGACCCAGCCATGCGGAAACCCCACACCTCAAAAGCCATTGTTGTGCTGTCCCAATCTCGGTCACCGACCCCACCTTTGGCTATACCGGTTCTGACGATCAACCCTTATTTCTCTGTTGAGGAGCAAGCCACGTGCTTTTTCTTTCAGAACTATGTGATTGGAGACGACAGCTTAGCCACAGGGAGCTTTGAGATTCTGCCTGACGTCTATTTGACAGGAGGTATCAGCAGTGCATTGACCGACAGTCTAACGGCAATGGGTCTCGTCGGGCTAGCGCACTTCTACAAAGCATCAAGCTTGTTGTCCAGCGCAACTTTCAAGTAAGTGAAGATCAAACACCGTTTTCTTTCTCAAGGTTCGATCTTCTCGAGATAGTCGACTTAATATATTCTACTCCTTCTCCTAAGTCGACAATTATTTACCAGTCTGCTCTCGAGCACATCAATAGAACCATCGCTGACCCAATATTCAGGTACAACTCAGCGATGCGGACTCTAAGTTCCCAACTGCGAAACATGGAGGAGGCGAAATCAGACCAAACATTCATAGCCATCATGCTACTTGGATACTATGAAGTGAGTGATCGATTTCGAACCCATTTTTCGGGTGAACTAACAATGAGTAGGTCAACACATGCAACAGTCCTCAGTCGATGGAAACATGGACTAAACACATCAACGGCGCATCAGCACTCATGCAACTCCGCGGTAAGAGCAGCCTACGAACACCAATCGGCTACCATCTCTTCAAACAGCTCAGAACGCAAGTCGTAAGCTCGCAACCCATCCTCAAATATCATTCATTACTAACGATGCACAGATAATCAACAGCGCCCACCGCCAAGCCGCCGTCCCCCCCTTCATTGCAGAATGGAGCAGCGAACTCAACTTCGAAACGATCGAACAAGCCCAGGGCACCGCGCTCTCTCTCCTCGTCATCCGCTACACCAACCTCCGCGCTTCCATGAGCTGCTGGAGAGACTACAGCTCACCCGAACGAATCATCTCCACCGCCTATGCCTTAGAATGCGATTTCGCGAATTGGGCTAAGACTTGCCCCTTACGATACATCTACCAGACCATTAATCTAACCGAGCGCGTCGACGAGGTATTCTCCGATCACTATCACGTGTACTCCAACGTCTGGCTCGCTACAACATGGAACCACTACCGGTGCGCCCGACTTTTAACCAATGAGATAATCCTCCATCAGCTAGGACACTTGTATGAAACCGATCCGACATCACCTTTACTGATGAGCCACCCATGTTATCTCGAAAGCCAAATGCTAGATTCAAAGACAACCCTCATGCACCTCTGTGAAGACATCTGCGCCAGTGTGCCATATTTCCTCGGCGTTGATTTTAAGAACGGACAGGCGGCAATAAGACAGTTGCCAAAGGCTATGTATGCTAATCTGCTAATCTGGCCGCTGTATTCGGCGGGCGCGACGTGGATGGTGTCGGATCTGATGATTAATTGGGTTGCAGGACGACTGCAGTGGATTGCGGATGTGATGGGCATTCGACAGGCGGCTGCACAAGCGCAGTTTCTCGGGTTGAGAAAACATCTTCTCACGTGGGAGGCCGATGACGACGTGAGAGATAGTAGCGATGTCAGTAGTCCTGAGGTTGATCTTGTCATCAGGTCTTTGTCAGTGGACGAAGTTGAAGATTGAAGCGGCCTTCACATTCTGAATCAGATTCCTGGCAGTAATCATCTCCGATGGTCTTCTCCCCAACTCTGTTGCTGGTTCGCCGTTCCTTTGGCACTGGATCGAACTTTCGATAGGTACCTTTCAGGGATCTCACTCATCCTCAAACCCTGGGACAGCTGCAAAGCTAGACAAAAGAGCCGGAGATTGTGTTATGTACCACCTAAAATGAGCACTCGTATGATGACGGCAACGAGCTTCTGGAGACGGCATGGAATTGTGGAATAGAGCTTCGTTAAATTGAAGATCTCATCTCAGAGATTGATAGCTATCAAAGCAGATCAACACCACCGTCCCAGACGAATGATTCGAAGTTACGACAGAGTAGCGTATCGCTCAAACGCCTTCGGACGTCTTCAAATCCACGCCACACTCCATTCGTCGATCCACCACTCTCTGGTATATAACCAAAATCAATCAAAGCCTCAACGCCGAACCCCTCAGTTGACTCTCACCCACCGTGTCCAATCCCACGACTTGAATCCACAGCTCTCAGCTCCCAACACTCAGCTCACCACCACCTAACATCAATCATCCTCCTGATACTCTCCAACGTCTCCGTCACTGTCTCGCTCACCGACACCTTCCCCGTATCCGTCGTCTGCTTATCGCCCGTAATTGGTGCCCCCTTCGTCTCCGTCCACATAACTCCTCCAGGTCGAACCCTCACGCTCTCCATTTGCGCCATGCGCGGTACAAGCGGGCCGCCTTCGACTTGCGTCCAGATATTACTTTCGCCGACTTGGGAGTTGAGTACTTGCGGTGAGGGCATTGGTCTGGCGGCTGCGAGCAAGAGGAAGAAAGAGGATGTGAGGAGGAGGGATTTGGTCACGTGCATGGTTGCTGATTGTTGTCTTCGAGGTGGGATGCGATGATAGCGATGCAGCGACAACTCTTCGCGTGTATATGAGGTATTGCGTTGTACGAGGTCGTCCGATGCTTCAGATGAAAAGTGTTCGTTTCGTTTCGCGTCGTCCCGACAATCAGACGAACGGACAAGCAATCAATATATATATTTGCCCCTCTACCCCTCACCCCTCACCCCGAAGTAGGAAGACCGCGAAACATGCCACGTTGTAATAAATTCAGGCAATTCGCCTTACTTTCCATTCTCCCAACCCTAACATCTATTCTAAGATGAGAGCGTGACGTACACGCGCATGTGCGGAACATATTTTTCAAGTTGCGTGAGCTCGAAGCCGTGGATGCGAAATAGCCTGAACCGAAACCAAATATGGCTATTGTGGTAATTCAAACGAACATATTTTTCATTCCGGACCCAACGCGGTTGGTCGCCTCACATTCTGCTCAGATTACTCAGTCCCGTCCGTTCTAGTTATCAATCATTCTTTACTTACTACTGGATCTTACTGTGCGAGAGTTGTCAATTCTACACGACTGTATTCAGCGCGGACCAAGACAACTCCCAAGGAATCCAAACAACTCCCACTCCCTCCCCACCCCCATATAAAATATGTTATTCATTCTCAACACAGATTCTTTCTCTCAGCATAGCGTAGCCCGTACATTTCCAATAAAAAAGTGTCTACCTCCCCCTACGCTTCCATTATACATACCATCGATCACGTGCCGAGTCCAAAGAAAAGCTTAAACAAACAAGTCGAAGCTCGAACAAATTGGACTAAGGACCTATACACAAAGAAATCTCAGTCTACAGAAAAACGAAGACGGGTGTAGAGGGAGGAATGCGAAAGCTATTGAAATACCCCCGCTGTATCTAGTTCCATGCAACAGCCTTGCTCCACGCTCTACTAGACTGACATTCGTGAAATTTAAGCTAAAACACTCCGAATGCGTTACTACGACTTGGATTGCTTTGGATTTAAGTATCAATGAAGAACATACCTACGCACGCGACTTTGTAGCATATTAAGAAATCCAACTTCGACGCAACGACTAGCAACTACTGCGAGGTAAAACTAACCCGACGTAATTGCAGTTACAGCACTCCGAACCCGAAAATGCTTTCGGTTTACAAATTAGATCTCTAAAATTCGAAATAGTTCAAGATTCAACTCCTTCTAAATTTCTACTCCATTTCTCGTTGGTCTCCGCAATGAAGACTTTATACCACGTGACACACCTCGGCGGGAAAATCTCGGTGATTACTCTTCAAAATGAAATAGGGTTGATAATGTTAATTAAGCGATTTCGGTCTAACACAACACAATCGGACAGATGGCCGAGCTGGTTATGGCGCCAGGTTAAGGTTTATCTTAACAACAATTTCCTGGTCACGAAAGTGGCGTGGGTTCGAGTCCCACTCTGTTCAGATCTTCTTTTTTCAAATTTTTTCCTCGTGGGCATTAACTTTTGGAGGGGCGGGGGTTTTCTTTTGGTTTGGTGATGCCGGGGCTTAAGGAGCGCACACCGCCTTCGCCTATTGTATCGGCGAAATGATTTGTTCGATGGCAGAATATGGCGGTGAGCACATCTTTAAGCCAGTTCTTCATCCCACGTGCCTAATGGGGGGGGGCCTTCATTCTATTCACTCTTTTTTTGTTCCTCTACGCAAAGAAATAGGGGCTTGTGTTAACCGTGTGCCTGGCCAGGTTTGATCTAGAACAGGGCGTAGTTAAAAAATCTGGCGAGCGTGTATCACGACTGGAGGAAATAAGGGTTTGAAAATCGTCTATTTTCACTAAGGCAATGAACAGCATTGCGACAAAACTAGGTCCAAATACTTTAATCAGGACCCTCGCGATAGAGAAGAAGCCAGGGTATCTGTTTCTTATATTTCCTCCCTTTCTGCGATTTCTGCGTATTAGAGAGTTTTATTCCCAGCAGACTCATTAGCGTGCTTAAGACTCAGGGCTCAGCTCAGGTCACAGCAGCGCGACTGTTCAGGTCTGAAGATGGAAATAGACTTTGGTAGGCTGAATTTTCGTTTGAGATTATAGGGGTTATAAACTCGCAAAATTCTCCGTGTCGTCCGCGCAGCTTCTGGAGCTGGATTCTTGAAGTTGGAGGTATTTTCGGAAGGAGATAGGATGTCTTGATGCGAAGTGCATCTGCCTAAAGTGCCGATAGGTAGTCAGAGGAGGGAGGAGGGGATATTCTTGGCAAGTGACCCACAGCAGAGAATCATGTTGAAGTATTATTTCTCGATTAAGAGCACATTTTGGTAGGCCTAAGTCTTTTGCGAACGCCGAGCTCGTCTAGATTTCGGAGAATTGGGCCCCGTGATCATTATAGGTGGAGAGCCAGCAGGGTTATGACCCTTACCAGCAGACTGACTTCCTCCAGGATAGAAAAGACGGCCAGGGGCCGGTTTAGGTTCAGGCATTGGCCACATATGCATGGCGATCTCCCAGCCTGGCTCGATGATAGTTTCCCATACTTGAGGGAGGATGATCTCTTCATTAGGTCCAACGAGGTCGTAATGTCCCTTTTCAACATAAGGCCTGATTACATCTACATGTAGAAACGCTTGCTTGACTAGCTCTTCCATGCCCTGAGTGCAAAGTTAGCAATCGTAAGTCTGATTGGATATTTTTTACTTGCCGCCCATGATAAGCACAGATCAAATGGGAAGGTGAATTTGCGTCCTACAGCGTCTTTGAATTTAATGGGCTCCTTTTTGGGACCATCTGGGACGCATGCTGTTCGTTGTCTCGATATGTCTAAGGTATATGGAGTTAACAAATCCTGTGGAGCTCCAGTAGAAGATGTTGTGGTCGACAGGCTGATGTTTTCGAGATCCTGTGGTATAGTCTCATATATTCCAGCGGCTGCATTCACTTTTCGTTTATGCGTCTCGACTTGGTCAATCATACGATCTCGCAGTTCCTTGTAATTCGCTTCGTGGAGTCTCTGCATGCTAACTTTCAAGTCATCTCCTTGTTTGCTAAGTTCCTCAATCATTTTCATATACTCGTCTCGAACCTCTTTCAGAGCTTCTTCGGCCAGTGCGTCACGCTCTTTTATCGCTTCCTGCATGTCGAGTTGAACTTTTTCGAGATCAGCTTTGAATTTCTCACGTTCTCGAAAGAGCTCGCTCTGAAGTTCTTGTCCTGCGGATGTCTGGTCAAGGTCCTTGTTCTGATTGACCATCTGGTCTTGAATTTCCAGCGTGACTTGAGAGTTCTGCTCCACGAAGTAATCGATGATCTTGACGGCCGAACGTCGATCACCAATGTGGCGCCGAACAGTGCTCCCTTGAGCTTTCATCCACCCCCAGAATTCTGGTTTAGAAAGCAGTTGAGCTTCCCGCTCCGCGCCTTTCTCCTCGGTAACATTTGACCACATAGTTGTTGCTAATATGACGTTCTTCAACGCATCTTTTCCGCACAACTTCTTGAACATCATCAAGTTCTTTTTGGCAGAGCCCTGCATTCTCACGTCCGTTATTCGGTGGAGGTATATTATGCCATTCAATTTAATTTTGTTCGAGTAGGATCTAGTGAGGAAAGCAGCGAGATCTTGGAGGACTTCGGAATCGCTTCGATTCGTGTCGTCAAATCCAGGGGTATCAATTAGATAGACCGTTGTTGCCGGGTTGTATTTGAACGAAAATACATCAACCTCGCTAGTATCTACATGAACAAACGCTATTAGTCACATCCCAAATGGTAATTGAACGGATCGCGTTTGAAACCTGTTTACTCACGAGCTGTCAAATCATGTCCAACCTCCACCACTTCATCACTACAAAGCGAGATAAACGAGCTTTTTCCGGCGCCTGTAACTCCCATGACAGCAATGAAAATACTCTGCAGGCTAGATTCATTAGTTAAGTATATCCACACACAGAAGTGAACTTACGTATCTACACGTCCTTCAGCAACCTCAGCGGTCCAATTCCGTTTAGATTTGAGCATCGCTGCCATCCTGTTGATCCTGAAAATACTCTCGACAACTTCAGTATACTCTACACCCAGGTATGAAGTCTCAGTACAAACAAAGTTGCGTCGATGAAGTTGTCTGAAGTGCGCCTCGTTCGGATAGAGGGCTGCTTATTGCGACGGCTCAATAGGTGGGGAGAGTGAGGCTGCAGATGTTCTCCACGCTGAATGCAATGCGCGATGAGAGTAGCTGTGAGAGAGAAAACAGCGCGCGAGGAAATGAACTTTACAAGGCTTCTGAAGAAAGATACGCAGACACTCAATTCTCAGCTGTTTGAGCACAATCCTACGAGGTCCGCTGAGGCAGTTGCTGCATCATTGGATGTGGTTACACACGGAACTTCGCCCTGCTGCGAGCAACGGCATTTGGTTTTCCTGCATGCGAAAACGCCATTTCGCTGCTTCTAAGAACACCACTTTTGTAACCATTCGTTTTGGTGATCTTGCAATGTTACAATCCTGGACGTCGAAACGGCACGGAAATGGACCTGTCGGAGCAGTAATTTATACGAAGACCCTACATAACACAGCAAAGTAGCGCTCCTATTGCTGCAGTCGCGGCTGCTGGAAATCTGTTAGTATAGTGCTGAGATGTTTGAACGAATACTGACCTCCGACCAGGCCCTGCGTAATTCCTTGAATTGCCCCCGCCAAGGCTTCGTTTTTAAGACAGGACGCATTACCTTCCCCTAAAGCGTACTTGACCTTCATGGAACTCCGCTTTCGTACTTCCATATTCTTGTTCATCTTCCTGAGCTCGGCTTTTGTTTCGTCTAATAGCCGTCGATAATCTGTAATTTTATGACTGTGGGGCTTACCGTTGTTACCAGCAGCAACTATAGGTATTTCCATCCCAATCATGGAGCCCATGGTATTCTGAGAGGTTTTCAGTTCATCCTCAACGATCTGGATCCTCTCTTTCAACGCTTGAACTTCGTGTTCTTTAGCATAGACCTCAACTTGCAACTGTGATTCTGTCTCGTCTAGCATTGCGAGCACTTTTCTCTCGCTTTCTCGACATAGGTCCTCTAGTGAAAGCCGCAAATCGTCTGTGAAAACCCGAGACGCTTCCAGACTATTCTTGAAGTCTTGCTCCTGCAATTTCAATCTTTCTGTCATCTGAAAATCTCTCTCCGCTTGTGTCGCATGCATCTTCTGGGTGGTGTTTTCAAGATCTTTCATTAACCTATCCCTCAACACAGAAAGATCTCGATTGACCACCATGCCTGCTGTAGTCTGATCAAGTGTTAGATTCTGATCGACCATTTCGGTCTGTATAGCTAGTATTGCTTCACCCCGAGGACCAGACAGCACTTCGTCCAGAATCTGTAATGCTGAGCCTCGACTGTCGGTTTCATGCCGCATCAAGGAACCACCCCCGGCGAGTACTTCGGCCCAGATGCCCTCTCCAAGTTGCCGCTCGCGTTCAGCCTCCGACAAATATTCTTCGTACGCAGCTGAGTGGTTTCCGTATCTCTTCGGCCACATCGTCGTAACGACAAAGACCTTGTTCCAAGCTTTTGCGCCACATAATGCTTTAAACATCTCAATATTGCGCGTGCCAGAGTTTCCTAGGCGATTGTCTGATATTCGTTGCAAATAAATGATCCCTGAGATGTAGACTTTGTTATGATATGACACAGAAAAGTAGTTTGAAATCTCCTTGAGTGTCTCGATGTCTGATCTATTTGTATCATCGAACCCAGGAGTGTCTATCAGGTGAACTCGGGACATGCCATATTGAAAGGTATAGATGGAAATCTTTTGGGTGCCTAAATACGAGCATATGAATGGAGATTTGAGAATTTCTCTGATATGACACTTACATGAATGCAAACCATGACCGATTTCGACTCTATGGTTGGTACATCGAGAGATGAAAGTGCTTTTGCCCGATCCAGTCATGCCCATTACGGCAATGAAAACATCATTCGAGCTGAAAATAAATGAGCAACAGCAAATACCCGAGACGTAGTAACATACCCTAATTGAGTCGCTCCTATAAAGTCGAGAAAGCTTTCAACCTCGTCTTCGAATTCCTTTGTGCATTGATCGCTTGTTAGCATGGTATCAGATCTAGCATGTCAAGCTCTCGCCTTATTGCCTTCTTAAATTTGATGAAGATGCTCCGCGGCGCAGTCATGAAAGGAGGCAAGCACTTCCACAATAACGAGATTTTAGCAACGCAGCAGAATCGGAACTATTTGTCGAGGGTGTATGAATGAGGTATGATCTTCCAGTCAAGACAGTAAGGCGGCGGCCTGCTCCCGTCTTTCCGTCCAAAAAAGAGGGGCATGTGCATGGTGGCTGCATGTCTACTCTCTTGATTCGTACCAAACCCTCGAATCGTGCCCAAGGCAGTCTGTCTGTCTGTCCAAGGCACTCCATGGTCAGTGTGAGTCGGTGTATTTTCATTCCGCTGTACATG